ATTGATTTACAAAGATCTAGGAGTTTTTTGAGAAAAAGATATATAGAATTTCAACATGTAGTAATGTCACTTGAGATGGGTTCCAATATAATATTAGACTTATTTGTTAAATTTGATGTATATTTTTTTTTATTTAGTTCTACTGAATTTTACAGAATCAAGGTCTATATTTATTATAGTTAACAAGAAAATTATTTATTACTTTAGCTTTTTTAACTAAGGTAGTATATTTTTTTAATCCATTTATTATTGCAAAATAAATTGTATGTATTGCATACCCGAAGTAGATGCTTTCTAATTGCCTAATTGCCTTTATCATTGATATAGCATTATCGGTATTACTAAGAACAACTTATCTTCCATATTTCAATTTGTAAGAACTTTGCGTAAAAAGTCTTCAATATAATTACTAGTATAAGAATAATTGAAATTTTCTATTGTAATTAATGCTTGATATATTACAAAGTTTTCTGTAAGCTAATAAGCAGTCACTCCGATAAATGGAATATAATTTTGGGTCCACAAATCTGTTGTAAGACATACAAATATTATTGTTTTATTTATTAGTTTATTTAAATTTGATCATATATATACTATTGACTCTGCAATCTTATTTTTATCATATTAGTATAGGAAGCTACAAATTATAAATTAATTTCATAACAAAAATCTTTGAAACGATCATGATTAAAACAGTCTAAAGGTATCATTGCCTCTGTTAACCAAGCTACCAATCGTTAAGTAACATGATTTTGTTTTTTTTTAGAAAGTAGTTGAGTTGCTTCAAATATAGAATTAATTGTTGTTTGTATTTTTAGTATTTTCACCTAAAAATACTATAGGAGTATCTAATTTCTAGTTTTTAAAAATTCTATATACAGTACACAGATGTGAAGCAATATTGATAACTGAAGTAGATGGTTGAAATATAGTTGTATATTTATCAATATTGCCATTACTATCATCAATTTCTACTTGGCAATATTTGAGCTTTGTAACTTTATCACGTTTTGTGTATTTCCACATTTAGCTTTCATTTGATTTTTCTTTATAAATAAGTAATATATATTTTCTTTTTACAGATATTTGTGAAGAATGAGATATAGTAGAAGATAAAGATGCATCTACTAAAATTTCATATTGTTCAGGAACTATATCATCATTGAATTCCTCTGAATTAGAATCTCTGCTTTTAGTAATATTCTTATATAATATAAAACTATCTAGAGAGGTTTGCTTTTTTAATGATTGCAGTTGTTCTATTTGGAGAGTTTCATAATCAGAAAGCTCTATAGTATCTGATAAGTTGAACATCATAGTATAAGATAAATTAATTTAGAAGAAAATGATCCTTTTTATAAAAGTAAGAATAATTATATTTATATAAGAAAATAATATTTATTTAATGAAAAAGTATACAAAATATATAATTAATGTGGATCAAGTTTTACTTTGATATTTACTTTAATTAAAACTATAATAAATCTTA